AAGGATCACCTGAGCCCAGCAGCTCAAGGCTGTGGTGACTGTGAACATGCCACTGCACTCTATCCTGGTCAACAGAATGAGACTCCAACTAAAAAAAAAAAAAAAAAAGTATAATTATGTATAAAATTCTGGAAGAATTTATTCAGAATTTTAACAGTAAGTTTTAAATTTTAAAATATTTATTATTTTTAACATTTATTCAGTATATCTGTTCATGAACATTTGGCTTTTTCCCACTTTGGGGTTATTGTGGATAATGCTGCTATAAGCATTTGTGTAGACATATGTTTTCATTTCTCTTGAAATGAGGATAGAGTTTATCTTTTTTTTTTTTGTCAAAGTCTCCCTCTGTTGCCCAGGCTGGAGTGCAGTGGCACACTCAAGGCTATCGCAGCCTCAACCTGCTGAGCTCAGGCAACCAACTCTCTCTCTCTCTCTCTCTCTCTTTGATTTATTGTAGAGACAAGGTCTTGCCAAGTTGCCCAGGTTGGTCTCGAATCTCTGCGATTAGACAATCCTTTCACCTCCACATCCCAAAGTGCTGGGATTACAGGTGTGAGCCACAGCACCCAGCAGAAGATTTTTTTTTTTTAAATCAGAAGACTCAAATAAGGGTGAGTAGATATGGATCCTGTGACCGTTATTGAAGTGTGCTCAATTCATAGTCTTGGCTACATGTGCAGAGTAAGATAAGTCACCTTTTTTGGACTTTCTCTTTGTCCTGCTTTCTTGGTTTTGCTTTTGACTTTTTCCCATTTTCTTTTCTTTTCAGATTGACTCACATTTTTCCAAATCACAAAGCTAATAAATTAATTAGATGCAACAAGAAAAAGACAAGGCTGAAAAGCAAATATATGGCATGGAAGTGTGATCTGGGAGACTAAAACAGATGCCCTTTTATCAACTAAGGACCTAAGGTTAAAGAAACCATGTTGGCATTGGGCTGAAAGATGGCGGTATTGGCGCTCGACCAGGGGGAAGGACTGGTTCCGAGGGGGCCGCAGGAGCCATGATCATGCCACTGAACTCTAGACTGGGTGACAGAGTGAATCACTGTCTCAATCACCGGGAGCGGCTCCTTGTAGACATTCGAGGAGCCTGCTGAGTGCCGTCCCGGCGCCCGGCCGCCCACCGATCGGCCCGCCGGCCCCTTTCTTCCTGATGCAGACTGCCGTCCGCTACAGGCTGGACAGGACCCCCGAGGTGATTCATGGCAGGGGACGTGGAAGGATTCTGTTCCTCCATTCATGATGCCAGTGTCTCTGCTGGATTCAGAGCACTGTATGAGCAGGGATTACTACTCGATGTCACTCTGGTTATGGAAGATCATCAGTTCCAGGCCCACAAAGCACTCTTGGCCACCCGGAGTGATTACTTCAGAAATATGTTTACCGCAGACATGAGGGAACGAGATCAGGACAAAATTCATTTGAAAGGTCTAACTGCTACTGGTTTTAGCCACGTCCTTCAATTTATGTACTATGGAACTATAGAACTAAGTACGAATACTGTTCATGAGATTCTTCAGGTTGCCATGTTCAACTTATAGAAGTGGTCAAGTTCGCTGTTCCTTTCTTTTAGCAAAAATCTGCTGTTCCTTTCTTTTAGCAAAAATCTGCCTGTGCAGAAATTATGAGACTCTTAGATGATTTCGGTGTCAGCATCGAGGGAGTCAGGGAGAAGTTGGACGCCTTTTTGCTAGACAACTTTGTGCCACTCATGTCCAGGCCTGACTTTCTGACCTATCTTAGCTTTGAGAAGCTCATGTCTTATTTGGATAATGATCATCTGAGCAGGTTCCCAGAGATAGAGCTGTAGGAGGCTGTGCAGTCTTGGCTGCGGCATGATAGAAGATGCTGGAGACATACCGATACCATCATTCAGAACATCAGGTTTTGTTTGATGACCCCATCCAGTGTTTTTGAGAAGGTTAGTGCATTTGAAAGCAATGGGTAGGACTCATCATTTAGTTAAAACAGTATGTCTTTAGAGATAAGATTCCCAGACTTAGGAGCTAAAAACATAATTGATAGTTTATAAAAGTAGTTTATGTATAATAAGCCTGATTTGTTGTGCATTTAGATTTTTTAAAATACATTTTGTGGGTGAAAAATGAACCAGGTAGGTAGTAGAATAGTTTTATTTTTAAGGTACTTTTAAAGTTGAAACATAATTATTTAACGTAAAATACTGTGTTTGCTTTAGCTTTTCATTCTTTTCACAAATTAAATTCTGAACTGGATCAGGTTAGTTCTCTTTCTAAAAATTAATTTATGTAATACATGATGAAATTGGTATTGAGAAGAGTTCTGCATCATATACATTAATACAGTTTCTTATTTCTCTAAAATGTAGTAAGGACACAAAAGAGCTCTTGAAACCAGTAGGCCCTAATGGTGATTTTCTTTCCTACTCCCACCTGTTTTTTCCCTGTTTCACTGTGAATACTAACTAAATTTGACCATGTATGTTCTATGTCTGAAAACATCATTTTGGCATATTTAAACATTAGATTATAAATCCTCTATCTACATTGATCAAACATCCTTGTGCACATTTTATCATGTAAATAGTTCTCCCTTAAAAATAGTCTTTCTCTAAAATAGCCTTGGCCTTTTTGCATGTAAGCATTTTCATTTTTATATCAGAGTCTCATTTGGGATCTTTTCTTGCCCGAAGGAGAGAGAGCAGTTTTAGTAATTGCTTAACTTAATTGGTTTCTAATCACATGGTTGCCTCTGGGGCTCTGTTTACTTATTGCATCTTTTCTTCTTTCTAGAAAGCACACTGAAATCTTGGTCGACACCTTTCATGTTAAATAGTTCCTCTGATTTAGTTACCAGACCTGGTGATAACAATATAATATCTGGAAAGAAGGGTCGTTTATGCCATTTGAAAAATAAACACATTTGCGCCTTGGAAGAACACTCAGCAGCCTGGCATGGTTTTTTCCTCCGAAGTGCTATGAATTGTCATTAATATATTTTTAGTAGACAACTCAATTTTATGGGATTCTATCTTTATTCTCAGAATGTATTTGGTATGGCTGAAATAATTGCAAATAAGGAATATGTCTTAATTATTTTTGTTAAGTGATAATCAGCCCCACATCAACTGTGTAAATCATGTCTCTGATATTTTGACTTTTTCCCCTTACTATTGTTTTTATTGCTCTCTTTCCCTGGGGAATTCTGTTTTGCTTTATACATTAATGCAGATGCTTTACCACTAGTAGAACAAAACTCCTACAACTTCAGTCTAGATGGAAGTACTAGTGAAATACAAAATAAAAATCTTCCTTTTGTGGGACAATGTGATAGATAATTAATAGTAGTAAATGATTAAAACAATTTTTTTGAGACAGTGATTCACTCTGTTACCCAGTCTAGAGTTCAGTGGCATGATCATGGCTCACTGCAACCTCGAACTCTTGGTTCAAGTGATCCTTCTGATAGCAGTAAATGATTTTTAAGTACTGAGCTACAGAGCCTTTTTATATTGCAATTACCAACTCGAGGAGAGAATAGTGACAATAGTTGCAAGTTAATATTATCAAGTACTTTTGTAAATTGTGGAAAACATCAGTTGTACTGCTGATGGATTCCTTTGGCATCTGCAGTATAGGAGGTAGTAATTATCTGTTACCAGAATAAATATGTTGTAAAGGCTTCCTTCTGGAATTAATTTCTTAGGAAAACTTAATTTTTTTGTAATATATAAATCTCAGTTTTATTTTAGTAATACTGGTAAGATAAATGGAAGGTAGTCAGTGATTCATGCCTTAGTAGTGTGTGAGATTTAATGTTTATCAAAGGAATCTATGGCTTTCTAAATGTTGAGAAACACTGAATTAGGCAGATTTGAGACATCTGTAGAAATGAAACTCCAAACTCCAAGCAAAAATGGAAAATTTGGTTGGGAAATAAAAATTTGGACCATTTTACATCATACTGTTTTGAGCTCCTTGAAAATGGGGCCCATCTATTTTTTCTGTACTCAGCACACTGCAGGTCTCAAACAAGGCCATTTTAACATCCATTATATATGTATGGCCCCAGAGAGGGCACAGAAATAAAGACATTTTACATCCATGCTGGTCCTTTTTTAGTACTAGAATCTACATGGAGAAAAGTGTAGGCAATTTTGATTTGTGGTTATTTTCCTATTTGCTGAAATTTAGAAAAATTAATGTTGATATACACTTATTTTTAGCTTTAAGATTTTTAAAATTTTCTGTTATGAGACTTCTAAACATACAAAAAAGCTGAAAGAAGAATGATCACTTATAAACATATCATGTAGGTTAATAGTTGTTAACATTTTGCTGTTTGCCTTAGCTAGGTAGAGGGTGTATAGCCTTTGTATAATTTTTGTTTTTTGCTAAACCATTTCAAAGAAAGTTGTAGCATTATAACACTTCTATTCTAACTATTTCAGCAAGCATCTCCCAAGGGTAAGAATGATACCCTACATAACCATAATACCATTGTCACACCTAAGGAAATTAACAGTTGCTCCTTGATACCCAGTTCACTTTGTGATTTTCTCAGTTGTTCCAAAAATATATTTTTTAAGCTGTTTTTCATGAACCAGGATTTAATCAAGTTTCACACAGCACATTTGGTTATTGTGTTTGTCTTCATCTAGAATTGTCTCTTCCCCATTTTTGTGAGGATGTTCAAGCATACAACTAGTTGAATGAATAGCCTATGTAGTTATCACTTAGATTCAAGAACTGTTAACATTTACCATATTTGCTGTTATATAGTTGTGGGGTTTTTTTTGTTGTTGTTTGTTTGTTTTTTATTCAGATTCTCACTCTGTTGCCCAGGCTAGAGTGCAGTGGCATGTTCACAGCCACTGCCGTCTTGACCTGTTGGCCTCAGGCGATCCTGCCTTAACCTTCCAAGTAGCTGGAACTACAGGCATGTACCACCAAGCCCAGATAATTTTTTGATTTATTGTAGAGACAAGGTCTCACCAAGTTGCCCAAGCTGATCTCGAACCCCTGGGTTCAGGCAATCTCTCGCCTCTTCTGCCTCTGAAAGTGCTGGGATTACAGGTGTGAGCCACAACAGCCAGCCTTATAGATTTTTTTTGTCTTGGTTGAACCTTTGGAAATAAGTTGTAAACATCAAGACACTTCACTCCTAAATACTTGACGTGCTTCTCCTAAGAATAAGGACTTTTTCCTACCTAAGTACAATATACTATTCTACCTAGGAAAATTAATAAGACCCTAATATCATCTAATAGTTAACCCGTATTCAGGTTTGCCCAATTGTCTCAAGTATTCACTAGAATCCAGTTTATGCATTGCTTTTGGCATTGCTTTTGGCTGTCTTGTCTATACAATCTTTCTTAATCTAGACCAGTCCCCCACTTTTTTTCTTTTCTTTTTTTTTTTTTTGAGAAAGACCAGACCACCAGTTGTCTCAGTGTGTCCTACATTCTGGATTTATTTGATTATTTCCTTGTGTTGGTGTTAACTTAGTTCCTCTATTCCCTTTATTTCCTGTTAACACATCTTTTTAGCATCATGATTTTTAGGAACAATTACAGGAAAATGTTGAAATGCCAAGGAAAAACGTAGAAAGCCACTTAGCAACTATAATCAAACTTAGAATTCTTTTTTATATTATGAAGTTAAGTAGCCCAATTCTATGACTAAAGTTATCAAGAATTCATACTACTCTGTTATGTTTCTTTTAGATTCACAAAATCTCTCCCTCCCTTTTAATTTAGAACACTTCCATGCAATTTATTGGGATTAAAACTAGCTAAAGTGTCAGTGACTCTAGAACTGCGCTGTCCAATATGGTCGCCACTTGCGGTTATTGAACACTTGAAATGTGGCTAGTCTGAAATGAGATTTTTTTAAAGACTGAGATGACAAAACAAGTGTAAATTACCTCAGTAATTTTTATATTGATTGCATGTTGACATTTTGGATTTATTAAGTTAAATAAAATGTAATTATTTTTTATCTCTAGCTTTGAACAGAAATAAAATTTTAAAATCAATTTCCCCTTTTAAAATCTGTCTACTAGAAAATGTAAGATTATGATACATCTTTGGATCACATTTGTGGCTCAGATTATATTTCTCTTGCACAGCGCTGCTCTAGAAGTCAGGGAAGTGACTTGTTCATTAGAAATTCTCTGAATGTGCATACAGCAAATAGCCTTTTGCACATATTTAACCACTCTCAGATTCCCTGCCTTTAGAAACATGTACAGTTAGTATTCAGTGAACTTATCACCTAATGATTCTGCAGAGTGGCTGATGAAAATAACTGTAGACTGAGTATAGCATCTTTTTGTCAGGATTCTTTCCCTGGCCTCAGGAAAATAAAAGGTGACTATCCAATGCTTGGGAAAGAAACCCGTGGAGATTTTAATTCTTCCTTTGGTAGTTACAGATCTGAGCAGTGGCTTCATAGTGAGCAGAAGGGGGCATTCTGTCTCCAGAAAGAACCCCTTCCAGGGACCTGAATCATGCCCTCTAGCTGTGCTGAAATTTTGGGTTTATTCTTTGGCAGTATCTTTCCCTGTAGCCCTCTACTGGATTTTCTCCTCAGCTTAAGATAGGTTGTCTTAACTTTTGTACTGAGTACTCTGTGGAACTATCACCAAAGAGGCCAATGCTTCTGAATTTCCTCACTGAGTTCCTTAAGTTCCTTAGAGGCAGTAATACTATTTATCCGAAATATATATACTGTACCTCCATGCCCAGCCAAAAACTACATTTTTTAAATGGGGATAAGGTGTCCTAGACTCACCTCAAAATGAATAGAATTCAAAGATGACTTTGAAGTATCCAAAGTATACCTTGCTTAGAATGTAGATGCTCTCAAAACTGGTCTTCACAAAACACTAATATTCTTCCACATATTTCCTCTATCAGCATAGTTGATCTATGTAGTATTA